GCACCGCATATAAGGGCGGCGGCGGGCGGCGGGGGCACCCGTGCTGGGGGCTGCCAACGCAGAGGTGACACCATGGTGCTGTCTGCCACCGACAAGACCAACGTGAAGGGCATCTTCACCAAAATCAGCGGCCATGCCGATCAGTATGGCGCTGAGACCCTGGAGAGGTACGTGTCGTTGTCGTCCCCTCTCCTGTCCTACATGACTCCCTCCCGTCTGTACCCCTCCTCTCCCCATCCACATCTGTACCCCTCCTCTCCCCATCCACAACTGTACCCCTCCTCTCCCCATCCACAACTGTCCCTGTCCTACGTGACCCTGTCCCTGTCTCATCTGTCCCCACCTACCCCCGACCCCTCTGTCCCCACAGGATGTTCTGCACCTACCCTCAGACCAAGACCTACTTCCCCCACTTCGACCTGCACCACGGCTCCGCTCAGGTCAAGGCGCACGGCAAGAAGGTGGCATGTGCGCTGGTCGAGGCTGCCAACCACATCGACGACATCGCAGGCGCCCTCTCCAAGCTCAGCGACCTCCACGCCCAAAAGCTCCGCGTGGACCCCGTCAACTTCAAAGTGAGCATCTGGGAAGGGGTGACCGGCCCCGGTCCCCTCCGGCATCCCCCGGCCACCCCCCTGCCTCACCCCCTTGCTCATCATCTCCTTTTGCCTTTCAGCTGCTGGGCCATTGCTTCCTGGTGGTGGTGGCCATCCACCACCCCACTCTCCTGACCCCGGAGGTCCACGCTTCTCTGGACAAGTTCCTGTGCGCCGTGGCCACCGTGCTGACCGCCAAGTACCGTTAAGACGGCACCGTGGCTAGAGCTGGACCCAGCCCACCGCCAGCCCTCTGACAGCGAGCAGCCAAATGATCTGAAATAAAATCTGTTGCGTTGGTGCTCCAGCTCTGGCATCCTGCTCTGGTTGCTGCCTGCGGGGAGGGAGCGGTCGGGATCTGCTCCGGGGGTGTGAGTGGGGGGGTCCCCCCTGCCAGGTGGGCACGTGGAGGAAATGGGCTCTGGTTTTGCTGTCTCTGAGAGAGGCAGTGTTGGGGTGGTGGGGTCCAGCAGGCAGCTGCTGCTCTGCCAGCCGTGGGGCTCCAGGAGCAAGCACAGCATTTCCAGGCACTGGTGGAGGGGAAAGACTTGCGGAGAGGGGCCAGAGTCCGACCCTCGGGAGCTCCCTCCAGCCCCAGCCTGTCCCAGCCTTCCCACCTGGGCACCACGCTGGGGTTCACTCTCGTCTCACCAGCTCCGCGCACCCCTTGTCCCCACTCTTCTCCTCCTGGAAGTGCTTGTGGGAGATAGGGGGGTCCAGGGGCTCCCGGCGCCCGTGACCCTCCGTGGTGGCACAGCAAGGACACCCTGAGGACCTCCAAGTGCGAGGGAATCTTTCCATGCATCCCCAGCACTCAGGGCTGCACGGCATCATAGGGCTTCTTCTGTTTCCACCTGATGCTGCCTTACTGGGGCATCACTTTGGAGGGGTCCTGGGGGGGCTGGCAGGCTGGGGGGGGCAGCAGGCAC